ACAGTAGGATAAATAAAACTAAAGATAAGTTTCAGTTTTTAAGCATTCTGTAGATGCTTGCTATTATAGGGCTCGAGTCAAGTGTTGTTTGGCTCAGGAAATGTTCTCATTAATGCAGAAAAAGATATTCAGCCCTGATAATTTAGGAAATGCCAAGATTTTGATTTATTTACAACTAATCTTTAAATTGATGACAACGTGTATGCTGATTTAATAACCCTTCTCATTCTGAACATTACTGTGATTAAACATGGTGCTACTAAAAGCAAAATTTTCAAAATGGCAAATACTTCCAAATACTGTCTGCATGGGGACAAGGAGATTAGTATTTCTGTATTTCTTGCCCACATAGGACTTCTGATCATTCCTTTTACTTCCTTTTCACTATCTTTAGTCTCACATTATAATGGAACCTTTTTTAACTTGAGGTTCTGAAATGAGGAATTATATGACTCATTGCCCCATATAGCTCATCTTCTGGTGGCTTATCCTCTTGCACTGGGAATAGCTGCCTGCCCAGAGCCTAGCAAAATCTTGCAAAGCATATCAATTTCTGGGCAGATGCCTCCTTTGTGCACAGTATGAACTAATAGGAACAGTATTAATCCTACTCTGCAACTCCCACAGTGATCAGATATTCATTTATCATGTTGGATTCTTTATATTTGGTTCTTTCATTTGTTTAGATTTTTTTTATCATATTTCACTGATCTTCACACCTTCATAAAAGCACAATTTTCTAGCCGCAGAGACTCTATACTGCAGGTGTCAAATGGGTGGATGGTATATTTGCTTTTTATGCCTTGGGGAAGGCCAAGCATCAGACTCATATAAACACTGCTAAATGTTTACTAAATAGCTTTGATGCAGTCACTCTTCGCATTTGTGACTCATTCTTTTAGAGCATTTTTTTAAAAAAAACCAACACTCTGCAGCTATTATGGTTGATTTGCCTGCATCTGTTTCCAATAGTCCTCTCTTCTCTCCAAAGTTGCCTGATGCCCATTGTATATTCTGTATATCTCTGAACAGTTTAACATCCTATCTCCTACTGAGGATTTACAGGCCTCTGCCACATTGCTTTCAACTCATGGAGTATCAGTGAATAAATGTCAGAGATTTTTGAAAGTTCTGTCTTAACTAGAGCAAAAAAAAGAAGAGTCCTCTTGATATAATCTTTCTAATATGTGTCCATAACTCATTATAGATTTTCTGATTTGAACCATCCACTCTCCTTCAGGTCCTGTCAGTCCTAAAGGCTTTATTTTGAAAGGAAAATCTATAGTACATCTCGGCTGAAACGTTAACTCTTCCTTCCTGTGTTTTATAAGAAATGGCATCAACTTTAGTTTTGCACTTTACCGTTGGGTCTATCCTGGAGCCTTAATTTTATTCTATATAGTAGTTATGTGGCTTATTCTTATCTTTAAGCCATTGTGTTACTTCCAGGTTTGGATTTTGGTTTCTTGTTCAGATATACCAGTGGTGGTGAACCTATGGCATGCATGCCAGAGGCGACACTCAGAGCCCTCTCTGTGGGAACGTGCACCCCCACCTTAGCCCCACCTCCCCCACGGCCCCCCCACCAGTAGGCCCCCCCAGAGGAGAGTCGCCCCCAGGCGCAGCCTGTGCAGAGCAGCACATCCAAGGACATGGCAGCTAGGCAGAAGGGACAAGACTCTGCCCTCGCGCCCTGTCGCACGTAGATGATGCAAAGCGTGGATGGAGAGTGTGGCCGCCATGGCACTACAAGGCCAAGTGGGTGATCTGCTGCAGCAGGCTGTGGGAGCAGTGGGTGGCCCTGCGGGTGGGTGGGGTGGGCAAAGCGGGCAGGTGGTGGGGCTGTTTTTGGGCACTCTAAAAGGTTCGCCATCACTGAGATATATCATGCAAATATTTTCCCCATATTGCAAACAATCCCTTATTAGTCTGAACTGCACATTCTCTAAGCATCTACGACAGTGACTCTCAACCTTTTTAATGCCACGACCCCCAACCAGTCATAAGTCGAGGACTACTCAACCGGTCATAAGTCGAGGACTACTCAACTGGTGCAGCACCATTTGCAGAATGGGACTTTTGGCGGGCCAAGCAGGGCAGAGACAGCCTGGACAATTCCTATTGGCTTTTGAAAGCCAATAGAATTAGACTCTATTCAAGCCAATAGAATAAAAGGGAGTAGCACAGCTAAGGAAAAGGGGGAAAAAATGGTGGACTGCGTTGTTTGGCGACCCCCGTGAAATGTTCATTCGACCCCAAATGGGGTCCCGACCCACAGGTTGAGAACCACTGATCTACAAGCAAAGAGAGGGGTATTGTAGTTCCACCCCAGACATTCTGTGTATTAATTCAACATTAAATTGCCAGACATTGAGACTGAATCCAATAGTGACTTCTAGAGAAGAAATAGCAAATTGAAAGCAGCTCTACTAAAATTGAAATCAATGACTGCCGGCAGAATAAAGAGCCGGCAAATAGACCAGCTCTTCACAATCCCTTTCTGAAGGAGAGGACTTGAGATTGCCCACAAGTGCTTCAGATAGTTGTTCCTTATGAGGAGATTGCAGGACAGGAGTCTCCAGTGAGTTTAAAGATTTAGCAATTGGAAGGATTACTAAAGATTACCCTGAATGGAAAAGCATATTTAAATCTGACTTACTAAATCAGAATGAAGCAAAATATTTTAATATTGGACATACTAAATTATATTTTTGAATAATGGACTCAGAAGTTAAATGTAAGAATGTCTGCTTCTATAGATAGACTATGTTTTTAAAAAGTTATGGTAGAGGAAGAGGTTTTACCTGACAAAATTGAAAGTGAATGAAGTAGAGTTAAAAATGATAGGATACAAAATGATAAAGAAAAAGATGATCCTCTGGCATAGAAAAGAAACTGAATGATATTTTGGTAATTAAAAGATATATTCAATTAATTAATTGGGTTTTTTTCCCACATTTTCGAACGACCCATCTTTCTCAAATAATCTCAAAGGGAGATTATTTTCATGTATTGTATTTCCAAAAAATGTTAAAGATGTGAAGAACTTTGTGAGAAGAGACAAAAAATGAAAAGAAATTAAGTTTTAGGACATTATGTGAACGTGCCAAAGATCAAGATTGCTAAAAATAGAAGGGAAATATATAAAGTTGGTTTATTTGATTAAGGTTAAAATAGATATATTGTTATCTCTGGTAATCCTTAACTTTTGATAATCAGGACTGAAACTTTTGATAATCTGAACTGAAACAAAGAGACTTTAAGAATTTGTTTATAGATAAGAACTGAGATATGGAAAGAAGAGGTCATTAGTTGTATTTTAAGACGAGTGATAAATTACTAAAATTGTTTATATTTGTGATGATGAAGGGAGAAGTCATTGCTTTACATATTTTGTCTTTTTTTACTATATTATTTTCTTTTCTATTTCTCTATTTTTATTTTCTGTACCTTATATTTTTAATAATTTTCTTTGTTTTTAGTTTGTATTAGTTTTTAACCTTTCAATTTTTAATTTTTAATAAAATTACTTTTTTTAAAAAAAGAGACTGAAGCAGCAACATAATCCTGCTTCTGTATTTCAATTGGGCTTGAGTTCTGCATCAAGAATGTCTATATAGAGTTATTTAGTTGCTATGTGGTTTGTATCAGCTTTCTGACAGATTTTCACAGAGATTAGCTATCATTTTACAACCAAGCATTGATAGTGCCAAAACGTCTTTTTCACTGACTAGTTGTTGAGGACAATTTAATGCACAATTAAGATATATCCTAGAGACAGTATCTTCTAATGTTCGAACAAATGTAAAATATCATTGACTTTCAGCATCTCAATGTGTTTTCTAATTTTGAAGTTCTTAGGTGACAATTTGACCTATTTTTACTGAAAAAAGAATTGATACAACAATGCAATTAACAAAACTTTTTAGCTTTTAGACATCCTTCAGTGTACCTCTTGATCAGGGGTGTCAAACTCAATTTCATTGAGGGCTGCATCAGCATTGCAGTTGCCCTTGGGGGACCAGGTGGGTGTGGCCAGGGTGGGTGCGGCCTACTGGGTGGGTGTGGAGGGAGTGGGTGTGGCCTACTGGGTGAGCATGGCCAACTCTACATTGTTCGTGTCAATGGTGCCTGTGGGGGCCTGGGCAGGAGTGGGACAGATCTGAGGGTCTCTGGCAGAAGGAGGTGGGACCAGGGCAAGTGCCAAGACATGGTCCACTGGAGGAGCTTCACTGTTCCTCTCAGGCCATGTATGGGGGCTGGATGGTGGTGCCGGCTGCCCAGAGCCCTGGGCAGCAGAGGTCAAATGCCCAACCTGGCCCTTGAGCACCCGTGGCACCAAGCCCAGCCCCACTTCCCCAAGGGGGCGCCCAGCTGCACTTACTTCCTCTTCAAGGCTGCTGCTGCTGTGCTTGCTGTCCTTAGCCAGGTTGTTCATGATGGGTACCAGGGCAAAGTCAGAAGGAGACTGAATGCGTTTCAGCATAGATGGCCACCACAAAATTGTACATTGGCTCCTGGCCAGCTGGCCTGGGCCAGTGCCAAGGCAGTGGGGGCCGTTCCTTTACTGTTTCCAGGATGGCTTCACAGGCCACATGAAACCAATTCTCGGGCTGCATCCGGCCCCCAGCCTTGTGTTTGACATGTCTGCTCTTGATGCTTGAACAAGTGACTTTGGAGATAAACTTTGATCTCCTTAAGAAAATGAAAGCACATAGCAAGAATGAGTGTGAAAGTTTATAAGCAATGTCCAAATACTTACCAGTCTTTCCACTCTCTTGACCTAATGTTGAAAAAACATATAGTCAGGCCTAAACAGTGAACCATATTACTGTTTTGATGATGCTAGGTACATAAATGTGAGAGTTATTAAAATTCAAATAAACAGACTTTCTCTTTCATTTTCAGACTTTGGGGTTCATAAAAATACCTATTTGGGTTTGTATATGTTAATATATTTTTTAATCCATATTTTCAATGTATTTCATCTTTCTCTACAGAAATGTGATGTGCTTTGGGAAGATTTTCACCAAAAGCTGGTAGATGGGTCACTACTAACTTTGGATACATATTTGGGACAGTTTCCTGATATAAAGGTATATCATGCCACTATGTGTCTTAGGTTAAATACTTAGAAATAGAAGCAAAAATATTCTATTTGGAAAACAGATCATTTGAGCTTAGACTTGCCAGCCTCTATTCATGCATCATAATATTCTATAAAAACTTTCTTCCAGAAGAAATTACCACAAGACAGACAAGGAGAATTGGGTATTGATCCCTTTGGCTAAAAAGCGTTTCCTTAGAAATTTACCCTTAACATTAAATGTTGATAAGTCTGGGGATTCTAGGTAGGATGGAGACAAATGGCTTTATTGTTTTGTTTTGCCTTTGCACAAGATGTGACTAAATTTTTAAATACTTAAATAAGACTGGTAATGTGCCTGATGTTCACTCAATTCTTGTGACTCCAAAGAGTGGAAAATTGCAGCAGAGATTCTGCCCCACTCACACAGCAGTCTTATATTTCAGGTGTATCATATTTATCTCTTGAGCCAGATCAAAGCTGAAATCATCTGGGTTTCTTTATGGTATACCACAATCTGATTTATATACCGTTTATTTCTTTGGAGGTGGGGGGTGTTTGTGAATGGAAGATGATTTGTTTTAAGTCCAAATAAACCATTTGTGGATGGCTATACAATTCTTCTGGTTTATCCAATAATATTTTGCATAGAAACTTTCTAGATTGTCATGAACATTAATGGAACAAAACTGATAAAGGGATTTACTAGTGTTTTGTTCTAGGATTACTAAATCTTTAGCGTGTTAACCACATACATTTGTCAAGGCATACATTACTTTATGTTCTCCTAAATCTGGAATAGTATATTTTTTACTTTCTTTTCTTTTAATTACTATATTTAGCTAATGAGAGGTCAATGAGTTTTGTGTTTAATGTCTTTGGTTTTTTTTAATCTGACAAGTAGTAAGTTGTCTTATAGTATCAGCACTTTGAGGTAGAGCGAGGCAAGAAGCATATCCTAGCTCCATCTGTATTGCAAGGCTACATTAACAAATTGTTGCAAGTCTGAAAATACATTTTTCCTCCCTAATTTTTACAGTCCAAACTAGGTAGGATCCATTCTGAAATGTTTGCTATGCTTCTATTCTTTCTGTGGGCTCAGCTGCCTCTTCTCTGACCATTGCATAGTCTGTGGCTTTTCCTCCTATCTGCCAAGGTCGTTCCCATATATTATTACACCTAGACCTTTCATTGATGAATGCTCTTAAAACATTTTGCTGCTCTGTTTGAGTCTAATTTTGGAATTAAATGTTTCATTTTTAATATTAAGACTATTCTAGAATATGTTTCCATTATTTTGCATGTTTTATGTGTAATACTATTTTAATCCTTATAACAAATGGGTAATAGCCATAAAAGTACTATTTTTAACAGCTGAAGTATTCTTTTGATTATTTTTGTTGATTTATATACATTGCTGAAAAGTAGGACCCGAATATTTTAGTGATGGTTTTATTTTATTTTTTTATCTTTGGAGAAGATTTCATATGTTTCAATAAAGTCTGGGGCAGCAAATTTTAAAATGTATGCTAAATATGATATGAAATTTTAGAAGTTCAGCCTAGGGGAAACAAAGTCTGCAAGCTTTTGAAAATGTGTGTTTGCTTTAGTCAAGTTTTCAATTTGAAAAAATACAATCTATATGCCTGGATTTTGTTTTTGTTTTGTTTTTTTAAAATAAAAATAAAAATAACCCCTACATTTGTGGTTCTCTTTTATCATTTTAATTTCATAACAACTTTTCAAGGCATGTTAGGGAGAGAGAAGATGATAGTTCAGATGTCTGAATGACAAAAGGGGACTTGAATCTAGGTCACTTTGGTTGCACTTCACATGCACCACCCTGGTTAGTTTTTAAGTGATGGAAGAACCTCATAATATTTTTTAAAGCAGAAAAGTTCTTTTCTTTATTTTATATTATTATATTATATTATATTATATTATATTGTGATTGTGATTGTGATTTTTGACTTGGATATCATTATTTACAGATTCGCATTGCAAAGCGGAGCAGGAAACTAGTGGACTATGATAGTGCAAGACATCATCTAGAAGCCTTGCAAAGTTCTAAAAGAAAAGATGAAGGGAGAATTTCCAAGGTGAGAGAGAGAAAGAGATGGAACAATATTATAATCTTTATAAGATATGCAGGGAGTGAATAACATTAAGTGTTGTTAAGTTGTGTAGTATCATTTGCTTGGGCCACCAATATTCCAAGGAATGATGCTGGTGAGATAGGAACACTATTGGTAGAAAGAACTGTTATGTTAGTATTGGGCAGATGCTTGTCAAGACCAAGAGACAAATCCTGGATGATATTGATTCAGAAATGCAGGAGGATATCTGCAAGCCTTCACTTGAGTAAACCATATATTGAATAAGAGATTAGTGTGAGCCAATCAGGTTAAATATCACTAGTTGCAGTACATTGATAGTATATCACAGATAGCCAATGATTAAGTTAAATGGCATCTAGATCATGTCTCTAGGATTAGCATTTTGAAATAAAGTAGCATTTTCTCTTCAACATTGCACTGGAAATGAATACAGAATGTGGATGACACATCCCTGAGTTCTGAGTTTAAACAGATTCAGATGTAATTTTGTGGGAGGTGCTTCCTGGATATATTAGATTACAAAGGAGCTTTACTCCTGGTACAAGTAACTTGTTATTGCCTTCAGTTTTAACAAACTTTTGATTTGTTTTTCAACTTTTCAGTCCAGCCTACACTGCTGAAATCCTTTTGTGATCTTCTATCCTAATGCTAATAGGACTCTGTTTAATCTTGGGAAAGTATGACAGTTACAATCCAACACTTACAAAAGACAGCATGTTCGTGAAAGCTGATAAAGTTCTTGGAGTAATATCAAAATGTCATCACATATCAAATCAAATATAATTGATGACTTCATAAAACCTGTAGAGATTAATGACAGAAAACCTTAGCATAGTTGTGAATTAGATATCTGTAGGATTTTTTTTTTTTTTTGCCATTTTCAAATAAGATTACAGAACACTGGATCCTCCCTTACATGAAAGAGGAAATTTGCAGGTTGTCAATTTATTTTTGCTCTACTTTCCTACTGATTAAGTAGTTAAAGTTGTGCCAAGGAGGGATAGAGATGTGCTTCAAGATTTCTGTATCAGAGTTCAAAATGATTGACTTGGGATGCTCTTCACTTTGGTAATGGAAGTAAAAGCATCACTTGCTGTGCAGTCTTAGGAGACAAAATTTCTTGATCTGACCTGTTTTAAATAGTTACTGTTTGTGAAGAGAATAGTATTTATAAGATAGTAACGTATGGGAAGAGAAGGCTTAATGTTTTCCCTTATAGCTATGATTTCTGCCTGAAAAAAAAGAAAGAAAATCACATTTGGTAGAGCTGTAAGTTTTCTTTTAAAAAGTTCTCATAGGTATTAAATGACATTTTCTCTTTAAAGCTTTATTGCCATCCAGTTATTATAAGGGATCAGGAATGCAGAAAGAAGGAATAAGTGACTAACATATGCACAATTGCAAATTTGTTGTGATTCTGAGTCAGCTCATTTACAACAGTAATTTTTTTCTTTTTAAAGATTTGGTTATAAGGTGTCCCTAGAATTTAGGTTTGGCTCTAGACTCAGCAACTTCAGCTAAGTGTAACCAAGCCAGTAACATGCTACTCACATTCTGAGTCACATTCAGATGGCTTCCAGTATACCCCCTTATAATAATTATCAGCAATTTAAGAAAAATTAAAAAATATTGACCTCATACAATAATGAATAAGTCTTAAATTCATTCAGATTTAAAGTAAGGAAGTTGGAATCTCATTAGATCTCAGGAGTAAGATTAACAAAAATCTCATTAAGTTTAATGCTGTCGCGACATTGGCAGATTCTTTAATTTTTTTTCTCTTTTGTTTGGTCCCTGGCATCTGAAAAAAATAGTTAACCTCTGGATTAAGCTCTCAGACTGACTGCTTTTGTCCTTAATAGGAGTACAAACCCAAAGAAATCCCACCAGAAACAATATCTTGCATTGTTCAGAACTGTTTTGTTTTGTTTTTTCCCAAAAAAAGTTTGCTAGGTATTTCACTTTGTTGTAGGCAGAAGAAGAGTTTCAGAAAGCACAGAAGGTATTTGAAGATTTTAACACTGATTTGCAAGAAGAACTACCATCTTTATGGTCAAGGTATATTGTTTGGAAAGTTATGTCCTTCATCTTTTTATTTCCCAAAAGCTTTTTAAAAATTAAATTGTTGTTTCTCTATGATCTTTTAATGGCATCTTTGTACCCTATGTAACTATGATTCAAAAGTGGAGCTTATTGAGAAACTAAATCTTAATTTTGTTTTAGTAATAGTAATAGTAGTAAAGTTGGAAGGGACCTTGGAGGTCATCTAGTCCAACCCCCTGCTCAGGCAGGAAACCCTACAACATTTCGGACAAATGGCTGTCCAGTCTCTTCTTAAAAACTTCCAGTGTTGGAGCATTTACTGCTTCTGGAGGCAGGCTGTTCCACTGATTAATTGTTCTCACTGTCAGGAAGTTTCTCCTTAGTTCTAGGTTGCTTCTCTCCTTGATTAGTTTCCACCCGTTGCTTCTTGTCCTGCCTTCAGGTGCTTTGGAAAATAGCTTAATTCCCTCTTCTTTCTGGCAGCCCCTGAGATATTGGAATACTGCTATCATGTCCCCCCTTGTCCTTCTCTTCGTTAAAATAGACATACCCAATTCTCGCAACCGGTCCTTATATGTTTTAGCCTCCAGTCCCCTAATCATCTTTGTTGCTCTCTCTTTTATGACTCATGGACTTCAACTCCCAGAATTCCTGAGTCAGCCTAGCTGGGCTAGCTAGCTCAGACATCTAAGCTTTTCAGCTACACTGTGAGTGCGTGGTGCACCAGAAGGCTGGGAGCTCAAAGAGATGCGGCTCCGGAGCCGCAGGTATTGTGAACTAGACATACCCAATTCTAGCAACCGTTCCTTATATGTTTTAGGCCCCTAACCACTCTTTCTAGGTCTCAACATCTGTGGTGACCAAAACTGGAGTATTCCAAGTGTGGCCTTACCAAGGCATTGAAGAGTGGTATTAATACTTCACGTGATCTTGATTCTATCCCTCTGTTAATGCAGCCTAGCACTGTGTTGGCCTTTTTGGCAGCTGCAGCACACTGCTGGCTCATATTTAGGTGATTGTCTACTAGGACTCCGAGGTCCCTCTCACAGTTACTACTATTGAGCATGGTGCCACCTATGCTGTACTTGTGCATTTGGTTTTTCTTGCCTAAATGTAGAACCTTGCTTTTTTCACCATTGAATTTTATGTTGTTAGTTAGTGCCCAGTGTTCAAGTTCATTAAGTGTTAGAGACATCTTAGATCTAACTCAAGGAGGGAGCAAACAAAAACAATGAAAACAAAAGGGTGAACCTTGTGCTTCCATAGTTGCTTCATTGATATCCATTTTGTAGAGCAAGCCCAAGCAATAAGGATCTGCCCTATGGAGATAAATATATCTAAAGAAAGCTTAACTTAAGCTTAGTATCATGCTAGAAATTTGCAAAGAAGGAGGTTGTTTGCCCATTCAAGTTATATATGTAAATTATATGTGTTTTACATTTTCAGGATTCTTTGAATAAGAATAAATATGCTGTTTCATATACAATAAGCAGTTTTTCTTTCTTTCTTTACAAACTTTTCATCTTTACCTGTCATTTCTACTTAGGCGCGTGGGCTTCTACGTCAACACATTTAAAAATATCTCCAGTCTGGAAGCCAAATTTCACAAAGAAATAGCTTTGGTGAGTAAATATAGATATATAGATGATATAAAGATAGATAGAGATAGAGATAGATAGATAGATAGATAGATAGATAGATAGATAGATAGATAGATAGATAGATAGATAGAAATACAGTGTAGAAGTAACATAGGAAAAAGATATGAATTGGATTAAAAAAAGCTGACAAGAAGTACATATTTAATCTGTAACTGCAGCGGTCTCTTTTTGTGAATAAAAATTATTGCTCTAATTATAATTATTGAAGAAGACTAGACTAATGCTAAAATTACTATAGCAATATTCATCATTTGTTAAGTTGATTCCTTGACTTTGTTGTTGCCCAGATTGTGTGGTTAATCCTGTATCCTGCTTGTGCTGGTTCTTTTTTTATATCAATTCCTATGTTTGTTATTTTTTTTCTTGGTTCTTTTTCTATTAGCCACCAGAGTGATATGTTTGAGATGGACACTCATGTAGAATGAATGAATGAACGAACGAATGAATGAATGAATGAATGAGAACTTACTAGATGATATGATAATAAAACAAGTAAGCTTTCAGCAATTGGAATTTAAGAGAAGAGTTATGCTTCTCGAGCCAAAAAACAACAACAACCTATGAATGATTTTGAACTTACTTCGTATAATAAAGCAAGATGAACTTGTTAGCATAATCATAAATGTCAGCCTAGATTACAGGTGGACCTTGACTTATGACTGTAATGGAGTCTGCCCATTATGGTCACAAATCATGATCACCTCACTTAACAAGTCTCATTTCTACGTCCTTCTCAGAGTCTCCACAGCCTTGCCACTCCACCAAATCCCATGCCTTCCTTTTCACCCCCATCACCCATCATGCATTTATCTTATGCAGCTCTCCAGAGTTTCAGATATCTGCAGAAAGCAAGTGGCCTATACCCCCAACCTCCAATCTCTCACTTACCATTTATTTATTTAATAATAATTAATTAGCTGCCCATCTTACTACAAGGTAAGTTTACAATATTAAAAGATAAAACTATATAAATAAAATACTCCAAAAATATAAAATACAATAGCTAAAAGTTGGGGAGAGAGAAGTAGGATGAGCAGGTGGGATCTGATATTAATCTGTCAACCATCTTCAATGTGAAGCCTCCTTTTTGGAGCCCCAAGACAACTGGCAGAGCTCTTGCACAAGACCGGGAGAGTTGGAGCAGACCTCACTCCAGGTGCAAGTTTCCAAAGTCCAGGGGCAATGGCAGAGAATCTTCTCCGGGATCCTACCAGCCAGAATACCCTAGCTGATGGGGCCTGCAGTATGGCTCTTCTGCTTGCATTATTAGGATGGGCCAATATCAATGAGATGAGACAGTCCCTCAAGTAATGTGGACCTATGCCATAAAAGGCTTTAAAGGCGATTACCAACACCTTAAATTGCATCCAGAAGCAGCCAGTGTAGCTCACAGAGCAGTGATGTTACATTGGCCACCCTTGGGGCCCAAGCACTGCCTGTGCCACTGCACTCTGTACCAGCTATAGCTTCTGAATGCTCTTCAAGGGTAGCCCCATGTAGAGACTGTTGCAATAGTCCAGCCATGAGATGATTAGGACTTGAATGATTGAGTGCAGGACTTCTGATTTTGTAGATCTCCAGAGCTTTGGTGTTCATATTGGAGAAGGGGAGCAGGGCACGCCACCTTTCATTCTCCCTAGGCTTGTGATATGGTCCCAGAAACACCATTTTCTGGGACTGCGCCATACAGCCTCAGGGACACTATGGGATAGAGCTCATGTTGAAGAGGGAAAACATGCCATTCCACCCCCTTGGAATCCCTGCAAACTACATGCCATGGTTCTGGAGGCAGGTGGCACAATTAATTGCAGCTGCTGTGAAAATGATGCCCACTTCTGGGACTATGCCACACATGAATGCAAGTTTTAAAGCTCCAGAGATGTTCCAAAGGTAATCGGTGTTTGGGGGAATGGAGGGAAAGGTGTGGGATCCAGTAAGGTGGAAAGCATGCCCAAAGTCTGTGGGGACCTGGTGGGGAGAGGGATCTGGGTCATAAATAGCTTTTGAGGCATCATCGTAACTTCAAATGGTTGGTAAGGTCATAGACTGAAGACTACCTATACCCCTCTTTTCTCAATGACTGGACTATGTTACAGTGGCAATTGGTGCACTATTGGAAGCCTTGAGATCATCACAGAGACAATCTGTGTGCTTGCTAGGAGTTGACACAGATTTGATGGCACATAATAAATCAATCATTTTATAAACTATTTTTTGATTAATGTAGTTAGTAAAATGAAGCTCCATGTTTAATAGTCAGAGAGTTTTTTGTTTGCAAATACACAGTATGTGTTGGTAATCTACTAATTATGATGATGATGATCATGATGATGATGATAATAATAATAATAATAACAATAGCAACAACAACAACAACAACAACATTGGAAGGGACCTTGGAAGTCATCTAGTTCAACCCCCTGCTCAGGCAGGAAACCCTATACCATTTCGGACAAATGGCTGTCCAGTCTCTTCTTAAAAACTTCCAGTGTTGGAGCATTTACTGCTTCTGGAGGCAGGCTGTTCCACTGATTAATTGTTCTCACTGTCAGGAAGTTTCTCCTTAGTTCTAGGTTCTTCTCTCCTTGATTAGTTTCCACCCGTTGCTTCTTGTCCTGCCTTCAGGTGCTTTGGAAAATAGCTTAATTCCCTCTTCTTTATGGCAGCCCCTGAGATATTGGAATACTGCTATTATGTCCCCCCTTGTCCTTCTCTTCGTTAAACTAGACATACCCAATTCTAGCAACCGTTCCTGCCAGCTTGATGTCTGCAAATTTGATGAGTTTCCCATCTGTCCCCTTATCCAAATCGTAGCTGAAGATGTTGAAGAGCACTGGGCCTAGAACAGAGCCCTGGGGCACCCCACTACACACTTCCCCACATGTAGATGCAGTTCCATTGAGGACCACACACTGAGTATGGCCAGTCAGCCAGCTATGAATCCATCTGGTGGTGATGCTATCTAACCCACATTTTTCTATCTTATCAAGTAGTAGGTTGTGATCTACTTTATCAAATGCCTTATTGAAATCCAAGTAAATTATATCCACAGCATTCCTCTGGTCCACTAATTTTGACACTTGGTCAAAGAATGCAATAAGATTTGTCTGGCATGATCAGTTTTTGACAAACCCATGTTGGCTTTTAGTAATGACTTTGTTTGCCTCTAGGTGTTTGCTGATTTGTTGTTTGATTATCTTTTCCAGAATCTTCCTAGGTATTGAGGTCAGGCTGATAGGTCTGTAGTTTCCTAGATCTATTTTTTTTCCTTTTTTGAAGATGGGACTACATCAGCTCTTTTCCAGTCATTTGGTAGTTCCCCAGTGCTCCAGGATCTTTGAAAAATATATTTCAGTGGTTCTGAGATCACATCTGCCAGTTCCTTGAGAACCTTGTGGTGTAATCCATCTGTCCTTGTGATTTGAACTCGCCTAGGGTGGACAGGTGCTCACTTACCATTTTCTTGCTTAGCTTAACTTGTGTGTTTATTCTGTTTTTATGGCACTATTTTTGATAGATTGGTCTGTTTTTTCCCTTTGTGTAAAGACAGATGCGAAAAATGAGTTAAATAGTTTTGCTTTCTTCCTATTGCTTGTCACTTTCTTGCCACTTTCCCCCACTAATGGACCAATCATTTCCTTAACATTTTTTCTTGCTTTTTACATGTTGAAAAAAACTTTTTTTGTTATTTTTGACTTTGGTCGCAAGCCTTAGTTCATTTTGAGCCCTAGGGCAGGGATCCCCAACCCCCGGGCTATTGCTCACTACCTGGCTCTGAACCAATCAGAACTGGGCTCGAAAGTGGCAAGCACGCTCACACATGCAACTCCTCTTGCACAAGTGGTGGCCAAGCTCATGCAAATGTGTTCCATTTGTGCATGTTGTTGTGATTCCACGCCAGCCTATGCTCCCCACAGCTGAGTCAGAGGAATCTGAGGAGGAAGTGGAGGAGGCATTTGAAGGGCCATCAGAACCAGAGGGAGGCTCTGAAGTACAGGACTCACAGTTGGATGCAGAGCCTGGGCCCTCCAGTTGTGTTTCTGATGAAGCTCAGCTGTGTGAGGAGCATGAATCAGACTTGGAGGAATCACAACAGATGGACTTGCTAATTGACGCACGCAGGTGGCGTCAATTAGCCAGAGTAAGGCAACAGAGATCAATGAGGCACCTCCAAAGTAAGAAGAAACGGCAAGGAGAGGCATCGCCTTAGGACTGCTAAATAAAGGGAGGAGGTGTGGGTGGTGCTGGTTGCTGAAGGCAACCATTTGAAAGCTGTGTCTTGGAATCTTAGTCTGTGACTTCTCTTGTAACTTCGTGTCTGCTTTTCATTGTGTTCTTTTGGATTGGAGTTTGCTGTATTTGACAGGTTTGTCAACAGAATTAAAAGAGGTTTTTGTTTTTGTTTGCAAGTCTCCAGCCTATTGTAGTAGCAGGGGTTTTGTCCTTGTGAAGTTAACAAGGACGACAATAGGCTGGAACAGAACACATGCCCATCACTCATGCAATGGAGCTGTGCATGCACATGTGTGCTTGCCCACCACTTGCGCAAAACCATCCCCTCTCCCCCTCCCCTGATGGAAAAGTTGGGGAACTCTGATTTAAGGTAATCTAGATTAATTAGTTAGATTCGACCTGGGATATGCAGATATTAGTTGATAATTTTAAAGATATTGTTATTGTTGCATCAGATTGGTTTGGCTATTTATCAATCAGAATAGATCTGGAAGGGATCTAGGACATCTATTAGTCCAACCCCCTGCTCAAGTAGGAGACCCTATACAATTTGAGATAAGTGGCTCTCCAGTCTTTTCTTTAAAATCTCCAGTGATGAAGCACCTACAATTTCTGAAGGCAAGCCATTCCCCTGATTAAGTATTCTCACTTGGGAAATTTCTCTAGAATTCTCCTTAATTCCAGGTTGCTTCTCTCCTTTGTTTCCATCCATTGTTTCTTGTCTTGCC